GTTTATCATTTGTATATATCAACACGCAGTTGTGGAAGATCTTGGGTTAATTGTGATAAGGAGCACAATAATAAGCTTTGCTTAATTATTGTGTGGGAAGTATTTGAGTTCTTTTTCTTCAAATAAATATCTACAAATTTTCATTGCTGACAAAAAAAAAATTTTATCAGGAATTTATAGTATATGCAGAAAAAATTGCTATTCATGAATCCAGTAGATGTCATGTAGTTAAGACTGATTTCTAGATTACTTTCTAACATCTATTTTTCATGTGTTTTTAATTTTTTAAATTAGATAGCTCCACACTGAAATTTTTCATACTTGCCTTCCAAGCCAAGGAAATCATTTTCTGACACATGAATAAATTCTGAAGTGTAAGAGATGTTATGAATCAAAAATGTGCTTTCATAATACTGAGATATTCCACTTGAACTGGATGCACTTGCATAATTCAAACTGCAAGAGCTAGAAACATTCTACATAAACCTCACCTTCTCTCCTCCACCTGCATTCTTCTATTTCTTTAGAAAGCAAGCAAATAACCTGATGCTGAAAACTCACTTTCCAGGTTTTGTTTTGTGTTTTTTTTTTTTTTTTTAAAAAAAAAAACACAGCCATCAACATTTAAGCTCCAGGACCAAGTTACTCTACCCATGCTCCAGGTCAATGCATTAGATAAAAAAGCCTGGATCCACTTTGGAGCTAACTCAGGAGTTTGTATGGCAAAATCTCCAGCAGCAAGGTAGTCTGATAATAATGACTAAACCTGAATTTTAAAAAAAAAAAAAAAAAAATGGATTTGAGAGCTTGCTTTGTCACAGGCTTCCTAAACAAAGCCAGGTGAACTGTTCAACATTCCTCGCTTTCTTTCCCACCTGCAGAGTGGAAATTACAGTATTTCCCTATTTCACTGATGTGCTATAGAAGAGAAATAGCTATTGTTGAGATGACCATACTTAAAATAGTAGGAAGAACTATATAGCTACACTGCAGGCAAAAGCCATAAATTGCTTTCTATAGGCCCTATTTCCAAGCAGTGTTGCCACAGAGCCACAAGAGACGCACACATTGAAAACATCAGTGTGTGCTGTGCATATGGCAAGATGACAGTGGCCAGTATTCCCACAGCTGCAACTGCCAACAGATCTCCATACTACCAGGAGCACACTGCAGGCTGGCAGCCCAGAGAGGAACAAGCAGTCCAAAAAGGCCCCACTAGCAGCACTGGTTCAAGTTTTCATGTAACAGAGCTTCCCATCTCTTTGCTCTACTACTTAGTCAGATGCCTGTGCGCATTTTTTAATTTGGCCATGCTTTCCTAGAATCATTGCTTCAAATGCTTGCATGCACAATGCATTTTCTTCTGTTACATTTTTACTTCTCTACAAAAACACAAGAAAATGGAAGTCATAAATGTTACGGCAATAGTTAAGTTTAAGAACAAAACAAAAGTCAGAATATGAAATAGGCTTCAGACATAGTGCAAGGTGAAGATAGAATGACATATAAAGAATTTTGTAATGAGAAGGAAATTAACCTATGTATTTAGATGTAAAACATTCAGCCTGAGTCAGCACTGGTAAACAGAGGTTTATCTCCTTTCCTAATGGCATTACTGTTAAATGCATTCTTTGTTAATAAATGTAGGGTGTGCAATATTTCAATTTAAAATATTTTTACTTCTTGTTTTACCTCTATGAATTAGTTTGAGTAACTAAAGAATTTCATATTGAGGGACTATTACCAACAAAACCAAGGAGATTTCTGTGAGAACTGGGCTGTTTCCTTAGCAAATAATGAAGACAAAGAGCTGTTACCCTCTCTTTAAGTGAGATGCTGCAGTATAAAAATCTCCTAATTTTGTCCATTCAGATTTCCCCCACCTCAGAGAGAGCTTCAAGCTGAAAAACCATTGGTGGTAGGTGACTTCTGTTCCAATAATAAATAAGAAGAAGAGGTTCACCCCTCTCTGTGGGATATACTGTAAAGAATTTTTAATTGTTCTGTTGCCCTTAAATACCAGTGCTGACTCAGGCTGAATGTTTTAGATCTAAATACATAGGTTTATCTCCTTGCTTTCAGTAGTTCTTGGTGTAGATTTAATGCCACGTCAAAAATCTCCAATTACTCTCAAACGGGAAGAGCCCTGGGCTGCAAAGTCAGAAAATATGTACTCAAAGTGATCTCTCCACAAAAATGGTATCTAAGAGAGAGACCAAAAGAGGCTCCTAGTATCTAACCGTTCTAGTGTTACATTCACTGTAGCCATATATTCTCCAGAACAGGGGAAAAAATATTATATACTTACATATACTACACACATTGACTTTAAACCACATTTTTGTCTACTATTTACAGAAAAGCTATACACTGAATGCATGACAAAGGTCTATTCAGGCATTATATATGTAGAGACAAAGTATAACACTCCTCTTGTAACAGAAAGGGGGCAATAGACACTTGCATTATAGCAATTCCTCTTCCATTCTGCCATGAGGCTTCTGTATAACACAGTTGTCTGAGAAGGAAGATGTCTGTTATCATCTGGTAAAAGGATCACTTTCACTCTTCTAGCAAGACTGTTTAACATGCCATCTTGAATCCAAAGCCAGACAAAACTCTTAAATAATTTTTGAGGTGTTTTGCCAGAATTTAACAGTGGAAGAATTGAAAGATTAAGATCATGGTATTAAAAACCTTGTGGCACTGTCACAGACAGCATGGTTTTGAACCTGAGATTACAGCTTTACCCATCTCAGGTGCCCAGTTCACATCAGTAATCAGAACACAGTGATCAGAATCAGAACAGCAGGAAAACAGACACATTTCAGTTCTGCGAATCTATAACTGGGTGTTGTCCTTCATTCCAAGGAAATCCAACCCAGCCAAACTTTACTGTATTTCTGAGAATTGACAGAAGCTCATGTTAGTTTCCCTTGACAAAATACACTGCCCAACATTCAAGTACAAGAACATCAGATATTTTTAGATGAATAGCGAGTTCATATTTTGTGCAATTGTTTTTGAAGACAATGTATCAATAAAATTATACATGGGAGAAAATAATTCTGTATATAACATCCTCCTAACTCTGCAACCACACAAAACTTTTATACAAGTTTTCTTTCTAATAAGGACAGAAAGACAAGGTGGAAGTATATTAAAGGTGTTCTAGGCAGGACAAAAACTAAACCCAGTAAAGAAACCATTTTGGCTTCTTTAATGTAATGAGTCCAACTGGAAAGCAATGCGTATCACTTTGCATTCAGTCCTGTGTTGTATGGCTTTTAGATATTGTCCAACTTCCTTCCTGCCAGTCCGGTATTGCTTGTAGTTTACAATCAGAACAGACTCAAAGCAGCAGCATTTAGGCAGCAGTTCACCTGTCCTGCAGCATCCCTTTAAGTTTTAAATGAAGAATATTTTAAGCAAATATGGGGTCTAAAAGCCCTTATTACAGTGGCCTTTCTCACAACAAGATTTCATCTGCTCTGGTTGCGTTAGGGATACTAAAAACTCATGGGAAGTAACCATCATTACAGACGAGTCTTTGTTACCAAAAATAAAGAGGTAGCTTGAATCTACATTTGACAGAGCTTATAGAGGAAAAAAAAAGTGACATCTGTATACAAGAACCTGTGATTCAGAGCCTGCAAATGAAATAGCAATTCAATATATATTTCAAAAACAGGTACACATAGTAGCAATTGTTTCGCTCACAAGTTGAAATATAAAAGATCATATTGCTTGTGTTCCATATATCTGTATCCATATATCTGCTGGAGTCTTAGTTTTCCAAATAGCAATAAAAGTAATTGCCATGTGGCAATGTCACAGCTTTGGTTAGAGTAGAAATAACCTGTGAATGTTTTTTCTGATTTTGTGAATCATATTCCTGCCCCTAGACGCTATGGAAAGAAAATACAATGAAGGGCTTTCCTTATGTATAGTCTGCCATTAGACAGAAATATTCACGTTGCAATGATGAGTATCTCAGGGTTACAGATCTGTTGTACCACAGAGAAGACACATTAATTTAAAATCGGTGTCAAGTTCCTCCTCTGTAATGAAAGATGCATCCAAAAAGCTCAGTGAAATAAAATAATTGAAAAAGGATGGGAAATCAACAATGGAAAAAAAAAATCACATTTCCAATCAAATAATAAATGTAGTCTAATTGATATCAGTTGATTTCATCTGGAGTTCAGAGATCTATCTAATGGGATAAGAATGTCACAGGAAACTCAGTTGGTTTGTTTTTTTGTTTTTCCTCCTGACACCTGCTATAGAAATCAGTCTGAAGCTGTATGATTATCTTGTATGGCACATTTTTTCCTTCCAGTGCCAGTTAGGAAAATCTAGAGAGGTGCACAGGATGCAGACTCAGTTGGCACCATATAAATAATACATAAACCAGCACAAGCCTAGAATAGTCTCCAGATTCTCCTCCTCTTCTTTACCCCATGATTGTCCACTACTTTCTTTTCAAGAGCCTGTCCAGGACAACTTCTGAATTAAAATTAGTAAGCCTTGGACAGTACCCTTCTACAGTGACCTACTATGATGTCCAGCCATCTATGGGATGCTGTTTCTGATGGAGTTACAGCAACACAATAGCAGTGTTTCTTTGGTATTGGAAATACTAAATTTTTAGGCAATTTTGGTAATTTTTAGCAAAGTTAAGCAAATCAAGTCATAGGTTTTTTGATAAATGTGTGGCATGCTGGTGCTAAATAAAACTATATGTCTGTTAACTCACTTTCAAGAGCAAGAGCTGATGAGCCTATCAGGAACAAACCAAAAAGTGGTCCACTTGAAGGGAGAGCCTGGTTCAGTATCAGTGAGCTCATTCTCATCAGGCTAATGGCAAAAGTAGAGACATTTATCTTTTCATACTCTCAACCAGAAAAAAGTATCAGTTACAGAGCAACTGAAGTTGGATATCACAAAATACAAGAAAGCAAAACACGATCAAAAACAAGAAACCAATCAGAGGTCACCTTCTGAATGCAGAGAGCTTCCCACATTTGTTCACAAAGGCAGAAACAGAACCAGCAGTGGAAGCTGTTGCCTGACTCACAAACAAGCTCTTCGTTGTCATTGTGTGCCTGGACAGGATCTTCTGCCTCCACCCTGACTGTTAATTTGTTTTGCTCTTCTCTATTACAAGGCTGTACTCAGACCACACAGAACAGGTTGTTGTAGTTTCAATTCACTGCTCTTTCTTCCCTTTTAGAAAATCATATTTGGTAGTCAGAAGGCACTGCACCTGGGACTCAGAACTCAGAATAACTCCTGGCTCATTCAAGCAATGAAGCGTGAAGAACTGCTTATATATAATCTCATTTTAGTAGAATTCCATATCTTCCCAAGCTCAAATGCTGCACAGAAATCAGAGTAGATGTCTTGTCTCACTTTTCTTCATGTCTCCAAACAGGAGTCTTCACTTTTTTTGAAAAAAGAAATACATATACAGGTTTTAATCTATAGTGCTATTAATATATACCTATGCTGACTATAGGAGAGATGTTCTATTCTACTTACTTCAGACTAGCCTCTATGAAAACAAGGGAAAATGTTTTCTTGCTTCTATGCAAGCATGCATAGCTTCATTCCCAGTTTTCCTGCTTGTGCTGTGATGGCAGGAGTCTGTGCAGTGCTTTCAAGGTGAAGGCATGTATTAAACCCAGTCACTGGGATTTCGATGAACTTAGAAATGAGAAGAAGATGGCTGAGGAGTTGATATAAGATACTAGGCCATGAAAACTGCACTATAGCAAAATGGTGGGGGCTAGACAAGCAGTGTATAGAAGTAAAAAGATAAGCAGCAAGAAGTTACAGACAGGAGGACCTATTGCAGCTGCAAGCTAGACAGTTGGTGCCTGCAGCAACCAGTCACTTGGAACAGTCTCAGTAAGGTCAGTGCAACACAGCTGGGCTGGCAAAAGATGAAGTGCAAGTGGTAGGAATCACACCACAGTCCTTTATGCAATATAAATACAAGACCTGAAACTCAACAGGCAGCACAGCAACTGGTGGATGCTCAATAGAATTACTAAATTCACCAAAAACATATTTCAATTTACTCCAGGCAAACTTACAGATCATGTAAACAAACACCTCTCTACTAGCACCTTCCTTATAAAAATCTTTCCACGATCGAAACAGATGTGAAGAATAAAGAAACACCATAGAAACAATGTGGACACTGACATGAGGGTGCTGACACACATAATGGATGGCATTAACTGTCCTTCAACATTTGATTCAGAGCAACAGGGATCTCTGGAGATAGATCCCATGTGGCCACCTATATACAGACAGTACCACTCTGCACATACGGAAGAAATTTGGATTGATTCCCAGACCACCTCCATGCTAGCTTTCTCTAACTTCCAGTGCTTCAGAGAAGCTGCACACTCACTGCATAGGTGCTGAAGATCCAGCACAAAGCCAAGAAGCTGCTCAGCTGCCAAAGCAGGAAAGCAGCATTGCTAGACACAGCACATGACCTGAAGTGCCTTGGCTATTCTTGTTCCAGAGAGTGCTCAGTTGCTACCAGCTCTGGCAACCATCCTCCAGCACACAGCATAAACACACTTTGATGTTATGCTCTTGGTGTTTGTTCATAATTCTTAAAGTAAAATTTAGTTATGCTGTGATTTCTTGAAGAGATGAAGTGCTTTAAGGCCAGAGTACAGCTAGTCACTGCACAATGGCACAACCTTCTTTGTAAAGTGCTGCAGCTTAGGACTATTCAGACCAACTCTCTCAAGTTATTTCACTTATCTTTTGGAGGGCAAATGGAAAGGACATTCCCCTGAGCTGAGATGGACTCCAGCCTCCTGTCCAAAGCTATGGTGATCTGGGCTAAGACTGATATTAAAAATAATGATGGAACAGTACTATTCTCCTGCACCTGATATCACTGCAAATCTTAAATGACCTCCCTTGATGAGGCATTAAGTCTTGGTTTCTTCTTCATGATTCTGGTACTTAGCTTCTCCAGGCACCTGCTACCACAGCTCTGTCATTTCTCCTATTTAGTTCCTTACTGAGCAGTTTCACAGCTTTTTATTATTTTATGAAGCTCACAGAGTACTGACAGTAACCTAAAAATACTTCACCATTTCAGTTAATTTGCCTTACCAGGCATTCCATGGAAGTCATCAGATCCTCTTATAAATCCCTGATCTAACTGATATAATTAAGTAAATTTAGCAGTAAATACCTTATCACATTCCTTTGGCTTCAAGCAATAATCTTCTGAAGAAACATGAGAAAATACAAGGCACACTCTTGTTTTTGCAAGAATTTATTAATAGATAGGATCACAGAAGTAACTGGATTGTTTGTATTGCTTGAAATACTGCTATATTCCTTTTGCATTACAGGTACAAATAACATTTAAGAAATAATTCATTATTAAATGCTTATCTAGCAAATCTCTCTTTTCTTAACCAACATATAGCCCACAGGTAGGTAGGCTTAAATATAATCTGGAAAAAAATAGCAAAGAAATCACTACCTATGTGTATAACTGCAATACACTTCACAGAGTCCACAGACCAGAACACTGGTGTTTGGGAAAGCAGCACTTTACATACAGACTTGGAGCTGTTCATTCACAACAAATGTACCAAAGCCATCTTGAAGTAAATACCCATGGCATAGCTCCAATAGATACCTGGGCAATCTTAGAATCTTTTCTACACTATCAAAATTCTAATCCTCCTGTGCAGTACCCCTTTTCATTCTATTATTCTTGTGTATTGGCTACTTCCATTGAAAGCAAAGCAACCTTGAATCAGATTGAAGTTCTAACTCTCATGACTTCAGTGGTATTAGACAACACCATTTGCCTAAGGAAGAAAATATAGAGCAAACGAGTGAAGGGAGGCTTAATCTGCAAACATACATGACTGGTACATCAATAGCAGGATTGCTGTAACAACCCAATGGATAATACTGAAACAAATAGAAAAACACTTCAATCTTTAATTCAGGGAAGTGCTGATAAAAATCAGTTTTACCAGGAAAAAATGATAGTTACATACATATATCCTGTAGTTCCTTTAGAAGTTCATGATACTTTGAGGAGGTTTTTTTCATCAAAGAGGAAATTCTCAGATGAGTAACTAAGGCTTAAACTTAAAAGGAATCAAAATCCTTAATGAAGTTATACCTTAAAAATGTATATTTACCCCCAGAATACTCTATCATAATGCTATTGCATTCTTGTCTCATAACTAACAGAAAAATTTTTCAGCATAAATGATATAAGTAACACACACCTTGTTGATAGCTTATCATTACAATGCAAATAGTATTGGATTGCATTGGAAATCTAGTTTTCACTCACCAGCCTACTTATTAACAATAATTTGTTGATAAATACATTGCTCTCTCAAAATTACTGCAGTAATAGCAAACAGGACAATTTCAGCAGTGTAACACCCCTATACCCTTGTGCAGTGCCATAACATAATGGAAATCACAGAGGTAATGACAGGGTAACAAAGGTCTGGGCTACAGCAAACAAGGAGAAACCCAAATGCAACAGCCATATGCACAGAAACAAAGAAAGAAAATCTACTTACCTTTAGAAGGCCTCAAATAAACAGAAATCTCCAGCAACATACCCTCACCTCCACTGCCAATCTTTAAATGAAGTCTGGGAAGGAGTGGATCCTGGCTCCACTCTTTCCGGTCACTCATATACATTGCATACAGCTGAGGTCCCCTGGGTTGGCCCCACTTTCCCACCAGGTGCTTAATCACTGCTTCAAGCCATGATTCAGCATTTCTGCTACACCTGGGACAGAGCTCTACTACGTAGAGAAGGTTGAGGTACCCAAGTCCATACCGCAGGCATTGTAAAATCACTAGTGTTCAGAAATGAAAAACTTCATAAAATTATCACCTGTATGTATCATTTCTAAAATACCCAGCTAGAAACTATCTTTAATCCTCCCAAAATGTTTATACTGTAATTTCCTCAGTGTAGTAACCTTCTTGTTCATTATTAGAACAAGATGGGTTGATAGTTGGATTGAATGACCTTAGAGGTTCTTTTCCAGCCTTAATGATTCCATGATACAATTCTATGAACATCAAATAATGAGAAATGATAAATGTTTATAAATAAGACTATTATGTGCAATATAATTAATAATCAAATTTATATACATGTCTTTTGAGATGTAGATTTCTATTTCATTTTTATTCTTCTCTAACTTCTCCTGTTCTGTCTCCAGATTTCAAATCCAAACAGATGACCAACAAAAGTAGTTTGTGAGATTTTTTTCTGTTTCTGAGATTTTTCTGAGTAATTTAGAGATACACCAACTATGTTCCCTGGCTGTATGCACTACAGACCAGTGCAGGAGAGAAGCCGTTTAAAAACTATTGTTCCTTCAGCACCTTCCAGGTACCGAAGACATTACGATACGTATGAGCAGTATCAGCACAATTCAAAAGTAACCTCATTTTCAGGCACTCCTTTAGGGCAAGCTTTTGCCTGTGCAATTATATAGAGTGATTTTTTGTCAGCAGAGAGGCAAGCATATTTAGGCCATTAACAGCGTATATGTGAACTCCGACTGGTGCTTAAGGAGACTGGAAGGAAGGACTGCTGGGCTGCTAAGGAACCCATGCTACTGTGGCTTCAGTTCCACAGTGACACTTAGAGCCAAGGGAAAGCTATCCAGCTGTGAACGTCTCCATTGCAGTCACTTGTTAGTTGAGGTTGGAGAAGGTTAAGATTTGCAGACCAAGCGGCAGCACTGCTCTTCAGAGGCACTTTTCTTCCCCAAGCTTTCAGATGGCTTGAGCACGGGTCACTACCTCCAAGGCAATCAGGCTTCCAGCACTTTAGGTTTAACATGAAATAACTTGTCTGAAGGAGCAAGTTTTGTTTCTGTGCATATGGAACAGATGATGGTAAAACGGAAAAGCAGAAGTACAGCTTTTCACATAGTGAGTTTGTCCCCAGGGAAATAATACACATGTTCTCCACAGGTGCTAAAATAAGTTTGCTCAGAAGCCTCTTCATGAGAAAATCCTACTGAATTTACTGATTTCATAATTTTGCCTACCCCATAGTACGTCTGTTTCCTCCATTGAGCTTAAAGACAAATCCAAATCCAATCAATTAAACTTGTAGTTTTGTTTTCAAATGCATACTCTGCTATTGTAATTATTTGATCAACTTCAGTATTTACTAGCTAAAGCAATAACAAACTTAAGCTTTAATTCTGGGGCTGTTGCTAAGAATCTTTCAAAATAAACACTATGGCATTGAGCTATTTGACCCACAGCAATGAAATTACAACTTATTAAAATGAATATTACTTAAAAATTATTGGAGCAGAAGTGTGCTTTCCTCTCATCTGCTAAGACAGAACTGTCTGTTAGTATTTTTCCTGCATAAGAAGTAGCATTCTCTAATTTAAAACATTTATCTGCGGTC